GCCAACCCCCCGCGGGCTCCCCCCCGCACCCCTCCCTGCGCGGCGGCTCCATCCACTGCCATTGTCCGTCCACCGAGCGGCACTGTTGGGCCGGGAGAGGAGAGCGGCTTCACTCCACCTCATGGCTGGCTCCCTCCCTGACCGCGCTCCCTCCCCTCCGTCCGTGGCCCTTCCCTCGCGTTCGCTCCACGCCCGCAGCCGTCTTCGTTGAAAACGTGTATTTATTTGCCTTGCGCTTCGTAGTCCGTTCCACGCTTTGTCACGGGGGGGCGGGGGTCTCCTTTTCGTGGCGTTGCTTCCCTCCGCGGCGGTCTGGCTGAGGCCGGTGTTCTGAGCTGCCCCTCTGCCTTCGTGCGCCTGGCTAAAGAGGAGCTTACCTGCCGTGGCCTGAGACAGTAAGCGTACGGATCTGTGAGATGAAGCGGCTTGAATAAATTTCGAAGTGCTGGAAGCCTGCGTTCCTATTTCAGTGTAGGAGAGAAAGGGAGACTGAGCTATCCGAACTTCAAAAGTTCTGTAAAACTCATATCACTCTTTCTGCAAGGTTTAATGCTCTACAGCCTGGCTACGGCAAATACAGAGTAATAGATGAGCAGATCTGAATGGGTTTGAATTATATATCGTGCCTTGCTTCTGTTCTTCTTGGTATCTTTGCCCCTGCTCTCCTTGTAACTATGAAAGCTATTCTTTTCCTCTGCAGGGGCCAAACAGAATGAGCCGTCAGTTTCGTGTGCCTTTGGTGCGTCTTCCTCTGATTTTTTCATATATTTTAGTAGAGACCCCCAAAGTTCGTGGTTATCTCCCCTGTAACTTAACTCAAACTTAGTGAGACCTGAAGCTTGCTTTTCTTTCACTGTAATTCTCCTCCAGTCCTCTCATCATCATCTTTTACGTTATTGTAAGTCCTTTATTACAGATCACGTTACATTTAAATTTTCCTTCTTCTTTTCAAGACACTGCAGGTCTCCGCCCTCTGCCCTGCAGCAATACCAACAGTTCGGTCCCTTTTCGCACTACCACATCTGCGTATTTTCCAGATGGTTTTGAGGCAGAGCATTTGTAAGCCTGGGGTCAGCCCCAGTATTGTTCACAACAGGCAAGTAGTGAGCCAGTTAGAAGCCAGCACATGGAGGTAACGCCGCTCCTTTTTACCTCAGAAGTGCATATATTTTTAGTGTGTGAAATTCTGTGCATCATTCCTGTGAACTATTTATGCATTTTAGCGTGCATATATATATATTTTTGAGACATCCTACGCAGTAATGTGTTCTGACTACTGCTTACATCAGGGATCCTTAGCTATTTGTTCAGTGTGCCTCATAAGCATTTATTTGATTTCTGTGCTTGGGGTTTCTTCAGCCTGTTTCCTGTAGGCTTTAGGACCTTCTGGTATACGCTTAGATGGTCAGAGATTAAATTTCTCTAATCTTCTTTTAAGGAAGCATAATGTATTCATCTGAGATTGATAGAAAGCAGAGAAAAATGAGAGTTTTGATTCAGCTGTCTTCCCAGGTTGCTGATTAAGCTGCTAAAGAAGAAGGGGATGAGTTTGGTTAGTTATAAACTGTAGTTATTGCATCACTTTATAGAGTTTGATTCTACATGGAGAGTAAGAGTTCTGTTCTTTTTTTTTTTTTTTTTTTCTTTCCTGAGGAATAATCCAAAATTAGAAACTCTCTCAAATGACCTTGTTAAGCTATTGAGTGAGGAGAACATACCACACTGCTTCTTAAGAAAGATGTAGAATCAGTAAGACACACAACAGAGAAGATACAAATGGCATTTTGTGTAATCCTCCCAAGGTCCTGAAATCTTTGCATTGGTGCCACAGGGTTATTTCCAAAGTTACGTGAGGGTTGTTAATGCCTCAGAAATCGGTGCACACATAATACATCTGAAAGACTTCAAAAGCGTCATGGTGACTTCAGTTAAATGTTCTTGCAGTACCTTCACTAAACTTCTGTGTTGGGAGAATGATAGGTGGCTTTTTTGTTACATTAGGGAAAACATGCATGATTGGTCTGACTTGTCCTTCAGCTTTCTTATTTACAGTTGTAAAAATGATGACTCCTCTGGAAATTGGAAAAGCCTATTACAATCCAAGAGCTCTGCTTTATGACTTGCAACACACTGTAATTATTCATAAATACTATTCTTTCTGTCTTGCTTAATTCTTAATCACATCCCCAAATAATCCATGTCACAGTGCTGTTCACAGGATTGGAGTCAGAATAAAAATTTAGTGTTTCCTGATGATAATTTTCTCAGATTTGCTTATTCATGCAGAAAGATCAGGTGCATCCTAAGCTTTCTTCTTACCTGGGTATAAAACATACAGAAATAGTATTTTTATCACTTTTTTTTCACTGCATCTCTATCTTAGTTTCATTACAACTTGTATTGCTTTTACTTTTCATCTTCATTATATTTTATAGTCCATAAGAACAAAATTAGTCAAAGCTCTTGGTGTTATTTGAGCAAATTCCATTTTAGGATGGTTGCATTCTTCTGTCCACAAAATCTCAGCTGTACAGGAAGCTGTTCAGACTAAGTGGTAGGTGGTAAGTGACTAGAGGAGGGCTGGGAAGAAACAGAAAAACGCAGCTGAATGAAGTTGGTGGGAAGGAAAGAATATATAAAGGAAAAAGTTGGAATAAGGAAGTTGCAGAAGCAGAAGAGGCAAGGTGGAGGGGTCTCAAGAAGAGGAGGCAGACAGAGGAAGGTCCACAGGAGTAAGAGAAGCAGGACATAAAATGTAGGAGGGTCACAGGAGAGATGAGCAAAATAAGGCAGCAGAGAATGAAGAAGAAGGTGGGAAGCAGTTCATATGCCAATTTGCTTCCAGGAAATGGTGAGAATATTAAACCCAGAACCTTTCTTGGGTTTTGTCCTTTTTGGTCTGTTTTGTCACATGTGATGTTTTATTCTATGCTAGTTCAATCTCTTTGCATTTAACAGTCTTCTAGCTAAGAGGAAATTTTAAATAGATCTGTATTTATTCCCTTAAGAAAATGTGAATTGCTGGTTTCATGTGACTGCAGCTGTGCAATATATGCTGTGTCGGTCAAACACCACAGAGAACTTGGCTCGGCCTTTGTCTCCACCTGGCAGGTGGCCAAGCACGGCACCACTGACTTCTACACCACTTCGAGGACAGTTACCGTTCTAGATCCTAAATGACTGAATTAACATATTTCTGTATGAGTAGGTTTTGCTAGTAGTTTCCTTTTGTTTAAAATATTTGATCTCAGCAGAGCTGGTCTCCTTTTTCATCTAAATCTGAATTCCTTTCTGTGTTTTCTGCAGCCTTTTCTGCCTCTATTTTCTTTCATTTCTTTGTCTTTTAGTTTTCTTTTATTTCTGTAGAAACCTGTATCATGAGGGAAGACCACAGTGCATAATGAAGGGGAGACTAACCCATTCTGGAAAATGAGTTAGTTTTGTATTTTCAGAATTCGCAGTGCATCCACAATGACAAAATGCTACATTGTAAGGTCTGTGCAATAATATGCATCATATCTGGGAGTAAAACTGGCATAGAGGGTAGGAGCAGCTCAGAGCAAAGAAGGATGAACCACTGGCATCTGTGAGGGAGGTGGTTTCGAATTCTATCACAACCTCACAAAAGAGATGAAGCTGCATCTGTGACATCTGAATGATGTAGTTTCAGAGGATCATTCTTGACACTGTAGGTGGTAACATGAAAAGCACACTGAAAACAAAAGAAAAAGGAAGAACATAAACAGACTCATCAGAATAGCCAACAAAACAAGAAAAGGGAAGAATTCCGGAGCTTTAGGTTTACATGCTGTTTTACTTTCTTTCAGAATGGAAAATTCTAGAATTGCATTGGGTCACTCTGGATTGACTTCCTCATACACATAATAGAAAGGCTTTTTAAAACTATCATCTGTCCTAATGGAACATTTTCTTAACGAAAGTTAATGAAAACTGACATACTGGTTTTTTTCTTCTGGAGCTAATTGAAATAAAATTTTAAGTTAAATACTTCAAAACACTTCGTGGGCTTCAACTGGAAGAAATGGTCCTTATCAAAGACTGCCTGACTGCATGCAGTGTCATGGTGAAATAGCCCATGCATCTACCCAGATGTCTTTGCTATGACAGTGGACAACACTGGAGGACGACACTAGAGGACAACACTAGAGTCTTTTGAAAAGCTGCATGAAATGACAACCAGTTAACTATTGAGTAGACTTCATAGAAATGTCTGTTAGGTGTAGATGGCCTTAAAATTTGAAGCATGAGAACTTACATTCTTTCCCAAACTTAACTTACTTTTTCCTATTGTAAGTCTAGATCTTGTCATCTAGATGTTCAGTGTCCAACCCATTCTTGGAATCTGACATTCTTGTTCTTAGCTTTCTTTGCCAAGCTTTATAGTTTATTTGTTGAGAGAAAACGGATTTCCTTTGCAATGTTGACGACATCAGATTTTTTTTTTTATTATGAGATGGTACTTTTGGTCATTATGCTGCACAGGGAAGAGAAGGTCCTCAGTCTGTGGGTGTAATAGGGTATATATACTGAGATGGTATTTGTGTGTGTGTGTGTATATATATATATATATTGTTTAGCGCATATATATATATGGACTAGATGGTGTGTGTTTGTGTATATATCTATATATACACTAAGATTTTGTATTTTTCTCTCGTACAAAAATTAAGTTCCACGTATGTCAGAATAGTCCTTCAATCTCACAGTGCATGCTGACACACTTCAACATTTCATTCTGTGTTGAGCTATCTGTGAATCTCAGTGAATGTCAATTAAGGCAAGGAGGTATTTACAGGGAAAAGAAACTGCCCGTTGATTAATTCTTTTGTTACTTTATACTTGCTTTACAGGCCAAAGTTCAAAAAACATCAGTTCATCTCCAAGCATAGAGAGCTTGTCTGGAGGACGTGAATTTACAGGATCTCCACCTTTGTCTGCATCAAAAAAGGATTCCTTTTTCAGTACAATCTCCCGCTCCCGTTCCCAGAGCAAAACTATGAGCAGAAAAGAATCGGTGGGTTCTTTAACTTTTTAAGTTATTTTAATGTCACACTGCATTACTTGTTAGAGGCAATCATTTCTCCCATTCATTAAGCACTTGCACTTGGAAATGTTTCCCTAAGCACGCATTAATGGCAAAAGCAGAAATAAGCTATTTCAACTGTTTCTGTTGAGTAACATCTCCATTATGGCTTCCATCCCATTATCCTACCTGAAATGAAACTGTGAAAGCACCTGTTGCCTCTGAGAAAGAGGAGGGAAGTCCTGTAAGTTCATTTGCTTTGTTAGACTGTTGGTGTAGTCCTGAAGTTAATAAACAGTTCGGTGGGAAGCATGAAAGCTCAGCAGATCCAAACATGTCCATCTGTTGTCCCTGAAATTCCTTAATACATCAGAGGTTTCCCAGTGTCTGTAGCATCTGTAGTCTGCAGTCACAGTTCTATTTCTTGCACAGCTCTGACCTTATATTTGGCCACAAGAAAGTATTATTCAAACAGATTGTTCTCATCCAAGAAAATTGCCCCTTATCGTGGGTGTGTTCCAAAGAAATTCTCATCCCATCAAAGATATCGTAGGAGCACTACTTTGATAAACCTCATTTGCCATGGAGCAGAAGCATTCTTGTTTATTTTATATACACATTTCCCATTGTCTTTCTGCTGATTAGAAACCAGATACATAGTAGATGGAAAAAGCTGTATTTTTGGTAAGGTTAAGGCACAGTGGTTTTCTCCATTCCATTTTTACAAATGTATGCTCATATAACTTCCTATTGATTTCAATAAATAGGAATAGCAATATTTCTATATTACAGCATTTTTCAGGTGTTCAGAGCTAAATATTGTGCAGAAATTTAATCTGAATATCTCAGCATTTTTGTCTTTAAATAGCAGAATCTTTATTAATAGTCACATCATATTTTCAATTTGATATTTAAAATGTTCTAATGAAATGCACAACTTTGCGCAACTTTGTTCAGTTTTTGTTCACTGAAAGAGAGGGTTTAATTCTTGTTCCACATGCTTTAATGTTGTCTAAAGAAAAGCTGTGTTTTGTGGTTAGTCAACAAGAAGCTATAATTTTGGTTTGTGTCCATTTAAGACATATTGAATTGAATCTAAAGCTAAAATAACAACATAATATCTCTCTGCTTGTCCTCATGAGTTGAAGAAAAATAAATATACTGATATCAAACTTTTCTTTTTATGTGGTTTAACAAGATCTAAATCCAGCTTTTGTTTGCAACTTTTGTCCAGGTCAGCATTTGGGGATTTTGTGCTAGCAGAGTTTAAGAATAATTCCTCCTTAGTTCTCTAATAGAGGACATCATAGAAGAATTTGCCATTATAATATTTGTACTCAGTTAGAATCCATTAATGATTAACATGTTTTTCAGGTAAATAATTTCCCAAATTCATGATATTTTATTAATGTTTTTTCAAGGATTTTAGACAAAGAAGTATTCATTGGAACAGATCTGTAGTCCTTATAATAATTTTCAGTAGATTGGTAATCGTGATAAACTAAGCAGAGCATAAATTTTCAAAGGAATTCTTTGAACTGTGATATATAATTCATATTGGAGCATTTTATGATTAAACAGCTAGAAAAGGTTTAGGCTACTGAAATCTATTGCCTTATGTTCAGTTTTTGACTGACCTTTAATATAGGAGAAAGGAATTTGTAGCAGCTCCAAGAGGAAAGGGTTTGTTTAAATCTGTTGTCTATTGCTCAAGATGATGTTTGGGTTTTGTTTTCCTGTAAATTTCATGATACCTCCTTTTCCATGTAGAGAAGAAAACCTCAAAGAGTTCATCCTGAGGTCCCAAAATAGTAGCATCAGAGTTCTCCAGTCTTACAGTTGCTTCATTTATAGCTGTTTTCTGGAGGCAAAAGAAGGCTTGAAAACATAATGGATTCACATCTTTGTTTTATTTATAAAACTGAACTGGTTTATGTTTTTACTCCAATAATTATACAGATTATGTTGTTAAGTATTGGGGAAATTACCTTTGCTGGAACATGACCATGCATCAATCACTTTATAAAAAGATGGTTTTAAAATCAGTCATTCTTGGTGTAACAGATGAAAGAGAATGCATTTCCCTTTCATCCTTGTACTTCTAATTAAGGCCCTTCCCAAGCAAAGTGGGAATGGAATACATACATAAGAATATGTCCTTCAACATGGAGTTAAAAAAGTGATTTCCACAGACCAGAGGACGTTACTGTGACGTTGTCATGGGATGAACAGGAATGTCATCATCGCAGGTTGCACCTGGAGTACTGTGTCCAGTGCTGGTCTCCCCAATACAAGACAGACATGGACATACTGGAGAGACTTCAGCAAAGGGCTGCAAAGGTGATGAAGGGACTGTGGTACCTCTGCTATGAGGAAAGGCTGAGAGAGCTGGGGCTGTTCAGCCTGGAGAAGAGAAGGCTCCAGGGGATCTCATCAATGTGTATAATGCCTGAAGGGAGGGTGCCAACAGGACAGAGAAAGGCTGTTTCCAGTGGTGCCCAGTAACAGGACCAATGGCAATGGGCAGAAACAGAAACACAGGAGGCTCTGTCTGAACACCGGGAAACATTTTTTGACTGTGAGGGTGACTGAGCACTGGCGCAGGTTGCCCGAGGAGGTGATGGAGTCTCCATCCTTGGAGATACTCAAAAGCTGTCTGGTCACAGTCCTGGGCAGCCGGCTCTAGGTGACCCTGCTTGAGGAGGGGGTTGGACCAGATGACCTTCAGAGGTTTCTTCCAACCTCAACCATTTAGGGATTCTGTGACAAGATAAACTGGAATGTGACTTGTCTAAATTCTTTTTTTCCTAAAGGTGGTCCCACAAGTTGGACTTTCTCTGGGCGAGTTGTGATCAAAATTAATACTTAACTTGATTCATTGCCTCCAGGAATAGGATGTATCCATTTCTTGTATTAAGGACTTCTTAAGGTAGCAACATTTGCGTTATATTTAGTCTTCTAGATCTTTTTTTCCCCTCAAATGCAAAGATCAATGGAATGACTTTTTTACTGCTGTTGTCAGAAACAGATGTCCCCTGTTTTATTTAGTTAAGGAAGTGAATCTACAGCCTCAGGGCTGAATGCACAATATCAGATCATGTTTTGGCAACCCATGGCAGCCTTACGGTTTTCACGTTACTATTGAGTGGCACTCAGCTGTACGTTAATGTGAGGCCCACCAAGTGTGTTTGAAAGTCTATTTTGTGCTCAGCAGTGAGATTGTTCCCTACCCCTTTATATAGTTTGCAGCTTTCTGACAGGAATAACTTAGGTTGCAGTTTCTGGAGCTGTCTTCCCATAAACAACAACAGGAACTTTTAATATATAACGCACTCCGGTGCCTGTTATCTTCTGGCTGGGTCAGTCTCACTGGAATAAAGTCCTAGAAAATTTCTCTCATAGCCTGCTTACTGCCCTCCTTTTTGGCAGTTGGGAAATTGGGTGCATTTGTGGTCCGTTTATTTCTCATTATGTTTCGTTTACATCTCCAGCAACAGTTAAGGACAGTCTACCCCTCTTTTTGGCAAATAGCAAAGCTGCTTAGACGTTGATTCTGGCAAATATGGTTGGCTGGTCTCAGTTTCTGGCAGAATATTCTGTAAATTGCTTTCAGCCATAGAGATGTGCCAGAGAGGGTACTTTTGAGTTGAACAATATAAACATTTTTAAAACTTCCATGAAAAAATACAGGAGAAAGATGGCTTTGACTAAAAAGAGGTTTGATTCGGAGAAACTGTGTATTTTAATAAGTAAATTTCTACATAAAAGTTTTCAAGTTAAGAAAAATCAAATTATCCATTTGGAAAATATGTTAGTTTAAAAATTCCCAAGAAGGAAACATTTCTAAGGAAATTCTGGAGCAGTTTATTTTCTTTACTAAAATACTGTACAAACATGGTCAGTCAGAATCCCCATTTCTTAGCAAAAAAAACTGAACAAAAGTGTCATGCATCATGCTGGTTTTGATTGCACAGACTTTTTAATTAAATCAGATTTGACAACATATGCTATTGTCCCCACAAGCAGGTATAAACAACTGTTACTGTCTGTGATTTACATAGCTAATCTGACTGATTTGAAGTTAGTTATGAGTACCCCTACAGGTTAGAAAATTAATGTATGCCATTATTTTCAATTAAACAGGCATCTGCTCTACTGATTTAGAACCTGATCTTAAGGGTACAAACTTGACAGTTTTGCTCAAGTAGAAGTGGTATACAATATTCAAAGAGATAATAAAATAACTACTAGACAAACACACAAAAAAATATCATGCATGCAAAAATTCCTTTGAAGAAGAGCAAGCCTTTTATGCATGGTGCACATCTTGGAGAATTTTTTTATTCCCTTATATCTTTTCCCTGACTTATTTTTTAAATCTCTTTAAAAGGTTTTAAGCAAAATATTTGTCAGTCCATACTTACCAATGCCAAAGACTTATTTGGAAATACAAATGCTATGATGAAGTATCCTTTTTTTAGTTAAGCACCATAAAATGTGCCCAGAATAAGTAAGCGTCTGTGTACAACAGCCAACTCCTTGATCAGTGTGTTGGATTTGTTAGGCCTAAAGTTAAAGACATGATGATTGTGCTCAGTGCCATTAAGTTTAACGACCTTCAGTGCCTTAACGTTTAACTGCAGTTAATATTGGACGACACTTGTCTTCCTTATTCTGATGTGATAGGCCAATTCAGACACCTGAAAAATGCAATTTATTTAGTACTTCAGTGCTTGTCTAATTTTAGGGATAGATGAAGAGAATATTAAATCTGAGATGCTGCCAGGTCATGTGAACAGAGTTCATAGAAAAACCTCTGAGATATTTTGGAAGTGTGATTCTTCTCTCTGTTGCCTCTCTCAGGCTCCCACAACATGCTATAACTCAAATGAAAGAGCTGAATACAGTACAAGGAAAAATAAGCTGCCTTTTAGAGTTTTTTTATTAGAGATACTTGCAAGTTTCATATAATTTAGTAAAACGACAGCTGT